CTGTTTTGCCATCCAACGCACCATTTGTGATTGGTCAGTCTCCACCAGGGTTCTCAAATTCTCGTCCTGGATTACTGTAGGTCGACCACTACAGGTCAACCGCGTGCTCATCTTCGAGGCTAAAATCTTAAGAACGAAATTTCGCAAACTAACGTCGAAAAGTGCGTTCATTAACGTAGGTAGTAGAAAATAAAAATTTCTAAAAAAAATCTAGAAGTATTCATCTCCCCCAACTACCTACACTGTAGGATGAACATGAAAAATCTGCGAGAATAATCTCTATGAGGTATCTGGCATGAAATTCCGTCGGATATAATTCAATATCCAGTGTGGTAATATCCGGGGAAGTAGGTGTAATCCTACAGGCATTTATCAGAATCAGGTGAGTAGGTAGTTGGGAGAGATGACTATTTCGAGATTTTATTTCGAAATATTGATTTTCTAACACTATGGTTGGCAAATGACTGGTTAATTTCGGTAAGTTTCAGCAACGCTTTAGTTCAATTTAAAATCGGCGAAAACGTGGCCAAAGGCGCTCAACGACATCATATTAAGCTGAAATGAGGCAAAAAATTAAAATTTGGGGAAAAAATCAGCATCAATGTATATAGTAAAAAGTTATCTATCTATCAGTATACACTACGGCACAGTAGAATAAATATTTATTGAGCTATGGAACTACAAAAACACATTAAAACGGACAAAACTTTCAAAACCACCTTATGAAATTTTCTGAAAGAAATTTCATTCAAAAAAATCAATACCGGTAAGATTTTCCGAAAATAAGTTATGGTCGAGAATACAAAGCACTCGTTTCATACAGGAACTGAATTTAATAATACTGGTAGTTCATTATCTAATAAATACCAAGTTACAACAACACTTCAAATTAAAATTAATGCTGAATATCGATTATCAATACGCGTGCTAAATAGAGCATTTTAACGATTCGAAATATGTTCAATGAATATGAGCATATGAAATATTTCAGAAATTCTACTCGAGCAATGATTTAAATTGCAATGTGTTAATATTTTCGTCAACGACAGTGTTCCATTTTTGTTCCGCCGCTATTAGCAAACCTCAACATACAGTTTCTATGTAAGAAATGCGGCTATCTAAAAACGTATTATTTTCGTGAGGACAAAAATTCTTCTAGAAATGAAGTCAAATATCTACAAGCAACGGCCATTCAAAAATTATATCAAATTTAGCTATTGGCTTGTTTAAACATCACAGGAGCCATGAGAACTACACCAACCGCGGCAATGGAATTAATTACTGGTCTGAACCCTCTGGACCTGTACGTTAAGGATGTTGCGTTAATGGTCATATTACGATTGCGCACGGCTGGTGTAAACCTCGAAGTAGGAATGGGTCAATTGAGGCTGAGCCTATGGCGAGAAGCTCTTACTGCGCAACCTCTGCTATAGGCAACTAGGGATGCAATTGAACCCAGGTTTGCGTTTAATAAATCCTACAAAATACAAATAAAACATAACACAGAGTCAGGTGCTACAAATGCAATACGCATATATACAGATGGATCAAAAACAAAAAAAGGCTCAGGATGTGGAGTGTACTCCAGATCACTAAGCCTAAGTATTGAGTGGGGAATGGGAAAAAATACCAGTGTGGTTCAAACAGAATTGGCTGGTATCTCAATTGCCACAAAAGAAATAACCAGGAAGGAATTTCTGGCAAAAACATAACAATCTGCACTGACAGCAGGCAAGCCCTATTAGCCCTTGAACAGACAACGTGTTACCTCAGGGCTAGTACTAGAGTGCCACCAAGATATATCCAAAGCATCGGTAGATAATAACATTACCCTGAGGTGGATTGAAGGGCACGACAGGAGTAAAGGTAATCGCATTGCCGACTCTTTAGCCAAGAAAGCGGCTAGACTAAGAAGTTTAGGACCCAGTGGCACCTACGGCCTGGTGAATTCGACAACTGCGTAACTAGCCAAACGTCACACCCATGCTCAATCCCTAAATACATGGGATGAAATCAAAGGATGCAGTCTTGCCAGGATCACCGTTGGCGACCCTGGGAAGCTGGCGCCGAAAAAATATCTGGTGATGACCAGAAAAAATATATGCTCAACAGTAGGATTTCTGACTAGCCACTGTCAACTAAGGAAACACCTCCACAATATGGGGGTAGTGGACACACCTCTATGCAGGATGTGTGAACAGAAAGATGAAACTGTCAGACATGTCCTATGCGAATGTCCGGAGTTATCGTCAATAAGAGAGTGTGTGTTCGGCGAGTCTTGGTCTACACCTGCCGATATAAAGGAGATGTCTCCCAGAGACCTGTCCACCATCCTGGAAAGGACAGGATGGACGATGACCTAGGAGGACAACTCCTCGGGAGGATGTACAATGGGTCACATGTGGCCTAAGTGCTATGGGCCTAAGCTCACCCTCCTTACTCTACAGGCGTGTAAACGTAACCGACCACTCAGACACTGAAACAATTCCGACAGCCGATTGCAGTTAAATCTGATTGGCCGGCGTAAGAAGGCTTGTTTATTTTACCTAATATATGCAAATGTGCGTGTGATCAAGCTTTGATCACGCATCTATCATTGTTTGGGTTGCTTTTTTGTTGGATGGATATAATTTAGAAACTGTACAGGTTGACAATGAGGACCTTTTTCTACCACTTTTGTCCTCGAAAATGCAACGACAGGGGATTTAGAAAGTCATAACTTTAACCATTTATTCGCCTTGGGTGTATCTTTATACTATACATGTTGCAGTTTCATGCTGAAATTTCCCGTGTGATTTTCAGGCAGGGTCCATGCGTTGTGAATTTTACCAAGTTAACTTTTGAATATCAACGAGAAATAATTAAACACAAGTTTGATAATCGATACATCTTCAGCATGACGTGTAACTTGAGTAAGAATGCAGGCGCTCGCAGTTTATTGATTAACCAGAATCAAACGTCAGAATACGTTTGAGTCGTACCTTCAGCTTTGTTATCCGGTTATCAAAAACTAGTTAATGATCTGGATACCAGTAACAAACCTTCCTAGAAACACTTTCTCCCAACAATCATCTTCATTTCTTCTACCCAAGAGAGACCTACAAGTATTAGCTGGGCGGTTATTGGATCAAGCGATTTTTGACATTCGGTAAATTATACATAGATCAAATAGCGGTGAATTCTACCACCGTATATAGACCGGATAACAGTTTCAACTTTATTCCATACCAATTTTTTTAAATTATGGTTGATTACCAACTATGTGAAATACAACATCCATGATGTCAACTTCAAAAAATATTTCCAGTCGACATACACATTTTCATGTTTTTCGCGAATAGTTTCTGAACAACTCTATAAGAAATAATATGGTAACGATTATTGCTCCTTTTTTTTGAGTACAAACAAAGCTGAAATAATAGAGAATTTGTTGAAATGTAAAAAAGGGCAAACTAAAAAGTTCATCCCAAAAATTACTGCAAAACATAATCCACTAAAGAGTCCAATCAGTCAGTAACTTGTATTCACAAATTTTGTCTACAAATAAAATAAATAATTGAAAAAATGAAATATCTATATTTGGCTTTGTCGAAATAGTTAACGTTTCGGAAAGTATTCTCTTTCAGATCTCAGAGAGGGCTCACTTTCCGAAACGTTAACCATGAGCTAAGTATTAAAAATGTCATTTTTTCAATTTATTTCTTTCATTTGAAGGAACAATTTATGAGAATGACAAGTTACTGACTAATAAGATTCTTCAGTGGTTTGCATTACGCAATTTGCCCTTTATTACACTTCAACAGATTCTCTGTTGATTTCGCTTTGCTCATTTTTCAGATTGTGGAAGGGTGGATACACAAAAAAACAAGAAATATTGACTCTTTCAAAGAATACTAACATTATAAAATGATTCACACAACTCACAACAATGTTCTCCAGGCAATTTTTTACATTTTCACTCCTTTACGTGATATTCGAACGACACCTTGATATTTTCAGTTATTCTTAAATAAATCCTGAACTACTCATTTTATGGAAGAAACAGCTCGTACGTAAAGTGTAAAGTTAACATATTGCGTTATTAGGTAATTTTCGATACCTATAGACACTTTTTGGAATATTTCAGACATACTTAAGACATTGCCGATTTGTATCTTCTTTATTTTGAAAGAAAGAAAGAAAAATTTCAATAAATTGAAAGAGTATATCTTTAGGTGAGATTAATTTTTGGGATATAAAAAAATGTGGGACTCTTTCAAAGAAAGGCAGGAAGCAATCAATTGTGAAAGTAAATTCCACTTACATGAAACACTGTCATCCTCACTGCTGGAAAGTAGAAAGCCAAAAACTTTCCCAAAAATTATTCTCTCCTAAAAATATACCCTTTCAATTTAAACAAGATTCCTATTATCGATTACATGGGAGGATTCAACTCTTTCCGTGATAAAAAGTTGTAATTTTATCAACGGATTGAGTGTTTTTTCTTATAATGTCATACATATTTGCTGCTGAAGAGTCGATAAGGCAAGTGTCTTACGGCGAAACATCGAATGTCTAGCAGTGAGAATGGAATTCGTAACTCCATTACGAATGTTTGGAATACAAACGGAATAGAAAAGAGTGTTTTTCGTATAATTCAGCGTTCATATAAAAGTATTTTGGTTCAAAAGTATTTTTCATTCGTGTAATTCAATGAAAATAGCTTCCAGTTTGTGTCTGAAAGTTACTTATTTGCATGATCTACACATCTTTGTATAGAGTTGATTTTTTGAAATTAAGTTCTTTCTTCCTTTCTTAACGTATTTTGTGGTCCTCAATATTATTATTTCTTCACAATATTTTTTGTCTACTAAGCATCAAAAGGAAATATTACGTAAGGTTGGGATCTATCGCCATTATAATTTTCAATAGCGTTCATTTTGAATACAAGAATACCGAGAAACATAATCTGGCGTTCCAATTTTACAGAAAGATAATTAACGAACCTGTCTAATTTCCAGGTGATGATGATCATTCTAGGATGCTTCACCATATGCTGGCTGCCCTATCTAGTAATAACGATATACGCGAGGACAGCTAAATCTTTCCAATCAGCCTCTCTGTACGAGATATTCTTCAACCTAGCAATGGCCAATTCCTGCATGAATCCCTTAATATATGCCTGGAAGAACACCAATTTTCGAAAGGCTTTCCTTTGTCTGGTGAAATGCCGTACGCCAGATCATACCAGTGCAAATTTCATTACCAATCATCTACCAAGTCAGCGGAATTCAATGAATGGCATTTGCAACATATCTTGCCAAACGGAAGGAACAAACGTTGATGTCGAAATTCAAATGGAATTAGTGGCGAATGAAAAGAAATTTGAATGTAGTGTAGTATCGCCGATAGAAAGAGAGATTTCACGGGTTAGGACTACAAACTAGAGTATGTTTAGAGTGAATAGTTCATAAAATAAGTATAGTAGATATGTGAAACATTACCAGACGACTAAATGATTCAAAAACGAAATCCGGAAAAAAAAATTACTTCAGGTGCATAGTGTAAGGAAGTTCGTGCATGGTTCACGTTCATACTCACAAGACAGGTCTCGGAAAAATTTTGAGGGATTGCTAAGCAGGGAAAACATTTTGATAACGCAAAAAAACCTCTGACGATGTGAATAATATTTTAACAAGTCAAAAAACCTTCAGTGTGAAGACAATGTAATATTTATCTTAAATGAATTGTGCATTTGAAATGATCAAAACATTCGTGATAAAACTGTAAGGCTGTTTTTTGTATGACTTGTCTTTTTCAAGGTGGAGAAACATATTTATGTTACTATGTGTGTAATTTGAATAAATGTATTCAATAACAGGAAACTCAAGTTGATTCTTAAGAAACATTTTCAACAGCTGAAATATTTTTCAAATCGAAAGTATTTACTGGTTAATTATAACACAAACTTACCAATTCGCAAACGTATACTTTCAACTTTAAATGAAGACACATCTTCATTATTCAGACAATACTCTTCATATTCTCAATCTATTTTTGTAACACTAGTATTGAAATAAAATTCATACAGAACTTTTCCAAGTTGTACAAAAAATAGTAAAATCTTGTTCAACAATTAGCTCATTGAAAACAGTGATGAAGTGACATGTCAAAAGATTATAAATTTTATACATTGAAACAAGTTGTATTTATTTAAGATATTAGTGAAATAAAAATTACATTTCTAGAAAAATATTTCATGGTTTTCATGAATTTTGTATGTAATTTGTAGTAAATTCTAAGCTCTAGTAAACAATATTTTAAGCACAAATGTTGAAACAATACATACATGATTATAATACTATTTCCAATACTACTATTTCCAATATGTATTTCCAAGGAATTATTAAATGAGCTGAAAATGGAATTTCTGCAACAAATCAAAAAGTATTTCATATCTATTTTGAAATTGATAAAACCCGGATTTCTTTTTAAAAGTTCAACAAGTAGTTCTAGAGCCACAGCAGGGACTGTGAGAATTTTGTTTTCCTTGAAAATATATCGGCAACTGTTTAGAAAATTTCAGTCAAAAAAACAAACTCTTGTGAGTTATCTGGCTCGATCCCACACAAAGCCACGTTTTCTCACTTCAAACAAAATACGCAAAAGTTTAAGAAAAACTTAAACTATTATGTCTAGTCCCCATTCCAGCTCTCGCGGTATTCCATTGGGAGTCAATGATAGATAACAAAATAGGAGTTGTTGTTGAAAACGTGTTGCCTCAGGGCTAGTAATAGAGTGCCACCAAGATTTAGCCAAAGCCTTGATAGTTAATAACATTAGGCTGAGTTGGGTTAAAGAGCACGACAGAAGTAAAGGTAATCGCATTGCCGACTCTTCAGTCAAGGAAGCGGCTAGACTGAGAATTTAAGGACCCAGTGACACCTAAGGCCAGATGACTTTGACAATTGCGGAACTAGCAATCTTGCCAGGATCACCCTGGGCAACCCTGGCAAGCTGGCGTCGAAGAAATATCCGGCGATGACCAGGAAAAATCTACGCTTAACAGTAGGATTTCTGACTGGCCACTGTCAACTAAGGAAACACCTCCCCACAATATGGAGCTAGTGGACACACCTCTATGCAGGATGTGTGAACAGGAAGATGAAACTGTCAGGCATGTCCTATGCGAGTTATCGTCAATAAGAGAGTGAGTGTTCGGCGAGTCTTGGCCTACACCTGCCGATATAAAGGAGATGTCTCCTAGTGACCTGTCCACCTTCCTGGAAAGGACAGGATGGACGATGACCTAGAAGGACAACTCCTCGGGAGGATATACAATGGGTCACATGTGGCCTGAGTGCTGTGAGCCTACACTCACCCTCCCGACTCTACAGATCAAAGAGGAGATGCTGTTTAAGAAAAAAACGAGTTGATATGCACCTCAAACTGTAAATGAATTTTCGTCTCCTGATTAAAAGCTAATAATAAAAGTTACGACATATCGCAGTAATCCATTTACAAGATGGAAACAACACCAGCTTATTTTTCTCAAACACATATTCACATTTTTCAATCATGGAACAAAAACGCAGGAAAAAAGCACGATGGTCTATCGCAAAGCCAGCTCCGACATTTTTTTGAGATCTAGTTTTATCTGTTGTCTAGCAATGAGACCTGCAGAGAAAGATAGAGAGTGATTTATCATTCACCAGTGAATAAGCAATGTTTGAGTTTTTGATCAATCCCATGGTTGATGTCTTTGCAAGGCTTACTTGTTTCACATCATTTAAGGACAATTGAGTGCAACACTGCATTCGTGATTCTGTCTAGGCTGGTGTTCAATTCATCCTATTGAAGGATACGTTTTTTCAATTTGAAGTATATTCAAAGTTCCTCAGAAAGTTTGCAAGTTATTCAAAAAATTCACCAAAATAAGTTACCAGGAAAAGAAGATACCTAAGTTTATTTCTCCAGTATCTTCAAAACTCGAAATTTATCATAACTCCTGTTATAAATTTCTAGAATATGCAATTTCTATAAGAAACTTCGTATAAGCTTTGAATAAGAAGAGATTAATTCATTCTCAGTTTGAAGTCAATATTAGCTTGTTTTTCATAAACAATAAATCTTATTTTTCATTTCTGATCTACTCCCGATTGAACACAGCGTGGACTGAAATATGGACTGGAAATAAGATTGACTTTTTCTGGAATTTGTATTACGTGGGAAAGTTCACTGCAAATATTAGAGGTTTGTGGTAGATTTATTTCATGGCTCAGGGCCGTAATAAATAATAATAATTTACTTTATGATAATCAAGTTATCGAAACTCACGGAAATATCGAAAAAAACTACGATAATATATGGTTATTAATGATTGTTCGGACTAGTCAGTCCTACTGTGAATTCCTTTGATTTAAAGTCGAAATAAACCAGGAATCAAACGTTTCAAGTCGATATCTTCATTTTATAACTTTTCAAAATTATTATCAATGTCAGAATTGTATTTTTTTATAAACAAACCATGATCAATTCTTTTAACATACTAAGTGAACAATATTAATTTAAAGCAACAACATTCTCTCCCTCGTGAGACATACTCGTCTTGTGTCTTCTTTTAGCCAGTAATATTCAGGAAGTTTCAAAAAGTTCGGCCCTGTCAGCCATCAGTTTTTGTTTGCGGTACTGTCTTCTCTGGTACTTTCATGTGCTACATTCTCTTCTTCAGGGACCCAGTGCCAGTCAGATATGTTAGTGATGTCCGTAATTTCCGCAATCCTTAACGATACAAAAGTTTTGTATCTTTTAGATTTGAAACGAATCCAGTGCAAGACAATTTTTGAGTCTGTCTATAAATGAGTTGAAGTAATATGCATTTCAATGTTGTTTTTGATAGTGTTCATGAGTCTGCTAAACATAATCGGGGCTTGTAACTCCAATCTGGGTATGGTCATCGGTTTCATAGGTGCCACTCTTGATTTAGCACTTACGAAAGATAATTTGAATTTTTCATCGTATTGAAATCTCAGATAAATGACAGCTAAAAAAAAACTTTCCCACTGCTGTCACAAAAACCATGTAGTTCAACTTGTTTGCTTTAATACATTCCGATACCATAGCATCTAGGTAAACTCGTTTCATTAATTTTCGTCACTTCTCCTATGAGTTGTTTCCATCTTGTGTTCATTTCCGTGGATAACTCATCATCCCAGCCTATTGCAATCCTTCATAAGTTTTGCATTAAAATTTAGAATTTCACAACCAGTGGGGAAAGAAAACCTAATGTGACAAATGCAGACATGACCACCTTCAAAACATCTCGATTCGTGGGAATCTTGGTTCTGTTCAAAATTTTTGAGTCCAATTTCTGATGGTTCAACGAAAATGTAAAACTATTTGCTTCAGGATTTCATCAGGGTCCCAATACTCTCTCAGGTTCTTGAGTAAAAGTGCTAAAATTTTTCTGATTTGGTGATCGAAGATTCACAGGAATTTTGTCAATCACTTCCTGAGAATATCTTATCCAATTACGTTTTTCAAATCCGGCTCGAAGAACCAATGTTCGGACTAGTCAGTCCTACTGTGAATTCCTTTGATTTAAAGTTGAAATAAACCAAGTCGATATCTTTTATAACTTTCCAAATTTATTGTCAATGTCAGAATCGTCTCTTTTTATAAACAAACAATGATCATTATTCTAATATACTAAGTGAACAAAACTGATTTAAATTAATTGGAAGCAACAACATATAGCTTCTTCTAGTTTAGGCGTTTTTACAGTTTCTTGTCTTCCACCACTACAAAATGTGGATATATTTTCAATATATTTGCGAATAAAGAAAGATTCAGTAAAAATTGAATTCTGAATTTTCTGTATATCTCCGATATTTGGGTATCAACCAGTGGTACCCGAAAAAAAGACAACTTAGTCACAATTTAACCCATTTTTCAACTCCTATCGTTTATGATATCTCCAAGCAAACATTCAAATTTGAATAACCATGTATATGAAGAAAAATTCGACCGCCAATTCAACAAGTAAGCTGATGGGTGTTGAGAAATATGATTATAAACAGAACAGTAGAAATAACTATGTATTGAACATTTCTTTCAAACAATGAAACAAAATAACAAGTTCTCAAAATAATGAATCTAACTGAATTCAACAACTATGTTTGTTCAATTTTGTTGAGAAAATAAACTAGGTTTTGTACCTGTAACACGAATGCACGTGCCTTGGTATTCATAGAATATGTAATGATGAGAAATTTAGGCAGGTTAATGGGATAATTCTTTCATCTTTTGATGTGAGCTATCAAAATATTATAACAGAAGAAACATTACTTATCAAACGTGAGTGGTGAAGTTATCTAGATTGCCTTTCAGTTGAAACTATGAATGTATCTACATCAACAGTATTTTTGTGCAACTGCTCCTGCTGGGAGCTGTCTTTCAAGTTTCTGAAAAATACTGCAACCGCCTGAGCTCATTGTGTTTTGAAGATGAATCGGTTTGAAGTCGCACATTATACAAAGGAGGAATCCATCAAATGTAGAGGAAGAGCAGAGGGGAGTATGCATACTGAGGTCAATAAGGACAAAAATGAAACAAGCATTTTGGCTTATTACTTCTCCATCAGTATACAGACACCAAAAAAAGTAAATTTTTTGAATAGAAAATCTAAACAATCAACCTTACCCAACTTTCCTACTTCACTGGACTTTGTAATATATCTAACAGATATTTGTACAAATTTTCTCACAGAGAAAATTCTTGCAAATGCTGCACAACGTAAGAAACAGAGTATATTTGTGTCTTTGGCATATAAAAAAATGTCAAATTTTGTAATAAAAGCGTGTAAAGGGTTAATTTACATCAGATGTAAAAGACAGTTTGTAATGCCTGATTTTTTTTATTGTTATTTTTGATAATTCAAATAATTTTTTTGGTAAGGATGATCTCTTAATATTTTTTTTTCGGTTAAGAAAGGTTTCATATGAAAGAGAAAGCATTTAATGCGCAATATGCATATGACTTTTGAAAGAAGAAGCTATGAACATTGTTGTTAAGGAAATGGCAGTGACAAAATAATTGATGTCAAACAGTTTTGACAGATATTCATTTAAGTACATGGCTTTTCACTCAACATATATTTTAAAAATATAATACCTCTTGAACTTATAACTATCATGGTAAATTTCACAAATGCTAAGTTTACTTATATGCATTATATGTACAGATTTGCTGACGGC